CCTTACTGGTATCGCCGAGCGCACGGTTCCACACTTCATGGTGAACACAAATCCATGTACAGCGATGAACAAAAACTGCGAGAACGTTATGATGTTTCCGGAGCCAGGATGTGCACTGAAATATACCAGGTTTTTGAGCACAAAAACCTGCACAAACATGGAACGGCTTCTAAGTGGGACTCATTCTGACTAGATCGATCTAAACTATATTAAAACCATGATTCACTTCTGGGAGTGAAAATTTGTGTGAGGATTGTTTAAGGGCTTGGTTTCACCTAAATTAAATTTTGGCCAAAGCTGCAGCATGCTCTACTGATTCATGTGGCACGCTCATTTTCGTATGGGAATTCCGCATTATATTGCCATCATTGTTAAGGTTCTAATGTCGGGGTGGACCAAATGAAGAACAACTACATGGCAGATGATACTTCAATTATGACAGCATTTCACTGCAAGTTTTTGATAATTGATTACAGTATTTGATTGCGCTGTCATCATAGACGCGAAAGAAAAAACAACATCTTGAGTTGTTTGAGGTTTGCATTTGGGCCGAAAAGCCGCTATGATCGATCCAAATTCTTAGCTAGTTCTAAAAATAGAAAATTTAAATATGCATGGACAACCTAATAAGAAAGAGAGGAAATCCATTTGAAGAAGTTACGGACACAACACCATCCCTTCAACTCATGTTACTGAGCCGCAATCCTCCCCTTTGGTTATCATTAACAGAACTGTACAAACACTTGCACTTTGGGAGACCGAATCATGGTGCACAAGCAGCAAAACTATGCAGCCTTTGCTAAGTTGCTGTTAGATTTGATGAACCATCAAACATGTACAAAACGAAAATGACAAAACTAATGATTCTGCCCCCTGAGCAAAGGCCCTCGCCAGCACAACATCTTTCTGCCACCCTGGCTGGGACCGGCTGCTGCTCACGTGGTCAACAGCTCCAAGAAGACAACGTTGGAGCAGCACCCGAGCAGCACCAGCACGATGGCAAGGGTCGGCTGCATGTATGCTGGCAGCCTCACAGCCCTGGAGCCTGCAGCCCAGCAGAGAAGGTCAACCATAGCAGCTGTGAAAATTACTGCTCACACATCAGCTCAGGGCACATCCTATCAGAAACAGATTCCTTTTACCCAGATCACAGTCAAATTAGCACTCGCCTAGCAGGGGCTAGGATTTCAACAAGTCAGCAATAGGTCAGCTTGCTCACTGGCATTGTGCTATCTATGCACTAATAAAGATTGTTGTGATATTTGCAACATAAAATGGCATTGCACTAGTTAGGTACCAATAACAATTGGTGTGATGTTTGTACATAAAATGACATTGCACTAGCCAGGCACTAATAACAATTGGTGTGATATTTCCAGCATAAAACTAGGTAAAACTGAAGTGCTATGAAGCAGCTGACAGCTAAAGTTCATGCATGGTGGTGCTAGCCATTCCTTTCTGCCAAGAGCCAGTAAAGCCCCATACACCCTTTTATTAGTCAGTAATGACTGGTCATTTAACTATCCCAGGGAGTCCCCTTACATCTGCTATGCAACTTTGAAAGCTCCACACACATACACACACACTGAGCACAAAGATGCACAGTAGCCTAACATTGCTAATAACTTATGTAACTTGGCCCAAAATTGTTTCACTTTAAAAAAAATGAGCTGTCTCATTTATTAAGACATTTTCACATTGATAGCAATACCACACTTGGCATGACCTCATGAGCTTGACAAAATCATTAGCTGAAGGCACAGATCCTGTCAAAGTTGGGCATATTTCTCCTTAACTTTTGTCTGATCCTTTATGCTTACACCAGCCAATAGTTTTGTTGTGCTGTTTGTGGGCGACATGGACAGATTGGGTTTCCCTATGCATGTACAGATACTAGTGCAGATAGCACCACAAAAAGCCCCATGATTTCAGAGGGGAAATAAAAAGCTCAGGAAATATGCATGACGTTAACACAATGTGGAGAACACAAAGGGATAACCGTCACTTTTCTCGTACATGATGTGTTGTCTCAGCTAAAACACATTTGGGCACTTGTATGTGATGATACCACAATGCCCAATCAAGGCTTACTTATTAGCTGCAACCATTCATAGAAGTACAAAACTGGAGAAAAAGAGCAGCACAGACGACCACGTTTCAAATCTCAACCCTGCCCAGCGCTGTTACGTGCTCGGCTGGTGTAATGAAAGACTGAACATACGGTTCACAACTCTGGCGACAACACTAGATACGTATGAAGACAGCTTGAACGTTATATGCGGCGGTGAGTATTTAACTTCTGCAATACTTGGAAAATAGCCTTTCAGTCCACATAAACACGCCCGTCACCCTTTCACGCCGTGCTAACGGAGTTGACTGCCGGCCCGGCGAATACCGTTCCTAAACGTCACTACTGCGGGCTTTGTGTAGAATTTGGTATCATAATTCCTTTACAGCATTGCTTGTGAATCCTCGCCAGACCCAGCACGGGCGTGGGGCTGTGACCTCGAACGCGTTATGCAATAGAACCGTGATAAATGAATCCTAGCACTGTTTTGTGGCAGCTGTTTCAAAGTATTTCATTTCAGGGATATGCAGCTGTGTTTGATGGCGTGGCAAAATCAACCCTGGCCACGTGCAGTCTGTCGTCAGCACATTTGTCAGCACCAATCACAGCCCAATATTCTCATTACGTCAGGTCACGTGACCACAAAGTCACATGACCTTTGACGGCACGCGCCGACCTTGCTGCCAGGACCTTTTTTGTTAACCCGTCGACATGAGTATTTAGTCCGGTATATCTTAAAACGCTTTTACGGTAAAGATGTATTGCAAAACTGCTGATTTGCGCAACTGTTCATGCTTGGCTCCCAGGCAACTACCGCTCTCAACACAAAATTGACAAGCAAAATATATTTGTGGTGCCCGCCCTTCCTGCCAGGGCGGGTGACGTCAATGAAACCAGCAGCTGAGTGCATCGTTAAGCATCAAGCGCGCATGCTGTTCTACTCTTGTCATCTCCTGTCCTGTGCTGTTATCTATCATGTTCTGTCTATCCCCTATCTATCTTATCTACATCTCATCGTTCCCTCATCCCGTTCAACCTTGTCCGCTCATCCTGCCGGGCGTTAATCTGTCTTGTGTGTATTATCTTGTTATCACATGCCATCCACCTCCTGTCTTCTGGTTAGCATGTCATGCCCGGTATTGGCGGAACCTCTTGAGATTGGGGGACGGAAAACATGAGTTTTGCCCCGCTCTTGATGTGTACCGTATGCTTATGTGCGTGATCCCCCACATTGCCTCCAGAATTTGTTTTTTATTTTAATTTAAAATGCAATTTCAGTTAAGGTTATCTCGTATAGATTCCAGTATATATATATATATATATATATATATGTATATGTATATATATATATGTATATATATATATATATATATATATTCCACAATACGTAAGTTTAAAGATGTTTTTAATAATGCCTTTTGACTTCTATTTTGCGGCTCCCTGACTCGCTCTTGCTCTGTTCCGTTTGGCTGATATGCGATAGCACCTACTTCTTCATGCATGCCACGCATAGCGCCTCTTTATTATGCTTGCCAGCTTGTGCTTACAGCAGTAGTTGCTTGGGAACGCAGCAATGCAACTTTTTAGTTGACAGCTCTGTAGCACATTTTTGCCAGCAATGACATCTTTAAATCTACAGGGATAAATTTGCGCACGGTGCTGACCCCGTGGGAAGGTCACCTTGAAACTCGACATTGGTGCCGAAATGTGGTCCGAATAGTCATTGCAACCGTATAGCAGATGCAGCTTGGTAGGTGACCGTAAACATCGATATTTGTTTGCCTACTCGTGAGCATTATTCGATACGAATATCAGAGATGCAAGGTTGCTAGGATCAGAGATTAACGAACAGCTACGGGCCCGATTAATCCTGGAGTCTCTGTGATAAGCAAGACCCCTCAGGAATTACGATGATTAGAGGTTTTAAAGGTCATATTGCGCCCTTAACGAACCCCCCCCCCCCGCCATAGGACCACGAAACGGTAATCGGCTCTTAGGACTGTCTAGGGCCAAAGTACAGATACCCAGCTGTCTGAGAGCCCCAAGGGGCCTCGAGTAACCCAATTACTCCGGAAACTCAAGCACGCCGGGGATCTCCGTCGCAGTCTTGTGAACAAGGGACAGATGATAAACTGCGAGACGGTCGAAGGTCCCGACTGCCGAGGTAGTCAAGTGATCTACGACAGACAGTGGAAACCGAGGTGGTCAATGGACGCTGAAACGGCCATAGGCACGACTACGGTCCGGGGGCGCAGAGACCGAAGGGGTCGAGGTGAAAGCAATGAAAATACAATTTTATTTGGATGGTCGAGGACAACTAAAAGGCCAAGGTTTCCGAGGAGGCAAAGAGTTCTGAGAACGGCCAAGCGATGCAAACGTCAAAAAATATACCGTGGTGATCATTGTGTTCTCGCACAAACAGTGGTTTCCGGGGCGGTAAAAAAACACGGATGTGGTCAAAGTCGCCGAAAAAGAGCTGCGGGAGGGTCATAACGACTTTGGCCTTCTCGCTTCGGCCGAGGGTAACGAGGCTAAGGGGTGCTCGGGGTCATGGTAATGCACGGTAGATATGGCAGCGCTGTTGATCCGCAATCTCTTACGGTCAGGTGGTTGGTTGACGAGATATGTTCCTGTCGGATAGAAGATGACGATGCAGACTAGGTGCGCGGCCTGCTGCGTCATATGATGTCGGCTAAAGTTTCGCTGTTGCCCCTTGCCCGGGCTGTTTATCGGCTTGATTTGTATCATTCCAGCAACCTCTACCAACTCCAATGTGTTTTTATCCACTCTGTTTTTGCACGCATGGTTTAGCTGACTACTCACGCCCTGAAGCCAAACTACCCAAAGAGCTAATTAAAGCCCAGTGGATAATTCCTGATTCTTTAGCCAAACATCACCGATGGGCCTCGAATGCAAGAAGCAAAAGCTGACATCAAGCTTAAATAGTAGCATTATTTGCACCGCCCGCCAACCACCATTAGCCGACTCCGCTGGTGGGGTTCCAGTGCTGTGGAACACAAACCACCCGCTGAGTGGAACACGCACCCGGGTTCACACATCGATATGGCCATATGCTCCGCTAAGCGGTACGCAAGACGCAACGAATTAAATGGTGCGTCCAACGCGTGCTCACAACATCCGGTAAGGAAAGGCGCGAGACCAAATGCGTCTGACGCTTGCTGTGAACACGCCTGGTGCTTTACATCTGCAACGGCATCATTGCGCCCATGTGCGCCACATAACCCACGTCAACTTTCCAGAGGTAGAGTGAGGTTTCTAAGCTCAGCCTGAGTCTCAAACCGCCGGTAGCCCAGTAGGCCGAGAGCTCCCTTACACTGCCGCTGGATGACGCGCACCGCCGTCAGACCCATTGTCCGCCTCCACTCGTTGGCGACCTGCAGCGAGTTCTTGACCGAACTGTGCGCCTTTCCCCGGTTGGCGCTCAAGCGGTCGGCGTTTTGCGCGAGCGGCCGGCCGGGCCTGCCCAGTAGCACCTCTGCCACCTCTCTCTCCTGGCCGGAGTGCTGCAGCAGGAAGCGCACGCTCGCTTCCTCCAGAGGCACACCCAAGAACGCGAACAGGCGGCGTGCGCCGTGCGCTACGCTCTGCGCCAGCTCCTCGTAGCGCACGGTAAGCAACTGACCCGGGAACTGGCGCTCGAGCTGCTGCACCTCCAGCAGGCTCTCCTCCTGCCAGGCGCACAGAGAGCTTATCGACGCGCACTGGTTCTGGCACCAGGCAATCCGTCTGCGCGAACGCACGACGGCGCGCGGATCGCGGACGAGCAGCACGACGCGCAGCCGCGGCTCCTCGCGCAGCAGCGGCTCCAGGTAGCGCATCCGCATGCGCACCGTCTTGGCGATGCGCACGGGGTGCATGGCGCAGGCGGCCTCGAGGAAGCGTCGGCTGGCGCAGGCGTCCGGGAAGCGTCTGCAGGCCTCCCGGATGCTGACGCTGCTGCCGTGTACGAGCTCCAGCTCTCTGCGCTCCTTCGTCGCCCCGCTGTAGTCGCAGCGCAGGAGCTGGCCGAGCATGGCAACCCGACGCTCGGCGCTGGTCGCGACGCCGGTGGCAGCTTCGGCAGACTTGAGCAGTAACAGCGGTTCGAACAGGTAAAACGCAAGGGGTTGCGAGGCGAGCATGTCGCCGAGGAACGAGCTGCCGCTCCTCCACGTGGACACCACCAGCACCTTGCGCACCGCGGCGTCGGCCACGGCACGGCCCGTGAAAGCCGCCAGCGGTATCGCCATAGTGCTGTTGTCCGTCTCCAGACCCTGGCGGACGACCCGCAGCGCCTCCTCGAAGGGCGCCGCGGGCAGCGGCGGCTCTTGCGTCAGGGACTGGCTCATGACCGCAGTGGCCTCGACGGCGACCGGCCGATCAGGGTCCAGCTGCCCCTGCGCAGGTGGACCGGACCGCTCAGGGTCCGGCTGCCCCTGCGCAGGTGGACCGGGGACGGCACCGACCAGCGACGGCTGGGTGGGCGTAGCTGCTGCGGGAGCCGCGCGTGAAGAGTGAGGAGCAGCCTCCAGCGAAGCTGCCCTGACATACTTGCTGTTGGACTGGTGGTGGTAATCGCCGAAGGGTGGCCAGTGTGCTTTGTTGGTGTCCGGGATGTTGGTCCAGCTAGCCATGCCTGTGGAGACGAGAAGAGGATATTTACAATGAAGCTTGCTGAATTATTTCGTATTGTTCATTTGCACTGTAGATTGATTACTTAAACCAATAGTCGTCGTGGAATAGAAAATTTGTGCGTTTTCTTCCCGCCTCGCTTTTTTCGGGAGCACTACCCGAACCATTTCACGGATCGTAATACACTTTGGAACGACTGGGTCTGCGGCGTTTCACAATTTGACTTGACTTTCCCAAATCTTTTCCTCATGCATTGAAACACCTCACCCCACCAGCGTCCAAAGCATCATGGAACGAAACCTGCTCAGCCATTTCCTTTTTACGCTATCCAAACACACCCATACGCACTGAATTTCAAAGTTTTGTACCGTTCCACCGTCTCATACTACGCAGGATAGCCCAATAAGCAGCACGCAAGTTCCTACCAGCCGTCTCGTCACCTGGCAGTATGCGGACATCACGGCACGTATTGCGCTAGAGGGCACGTGCCATGTGGCCGCGTCATGAATTAATCACCAGGTAGCAAGCAAAGCAGCGCAGCGTTCGTGTTTTTAACGAACCACGACAGTGTGCCTAACAGCGCCTCCCCCCCCCCCCCCTCTCCCGAGGTTTTTCTTGCATAACATGGCAACCGTTAAATAGGTCACGCACGTTTTTAGTAGCTAGCTTCATCGTGTGCTTACGTGTCCTATCAAGTTTCAATAATTTTGTCCTAATAGTTTGTGACTTATGGTCCATTTGCTAAGGACAGGTCAGCCAAGTTCGATGCCAAATCGACGTTGCGGTTCACTCGTTGACAATCAGGATGTGTTGCTCATTTGTTGAATAAACATCATCTATTTTGAAGCCATGATGTCAGCCCTGCTTATGTCTGAGGATGAGAGATCAGGTCATCATAGGCTAAGCTAGGTCCAAAATGTTTACTTGTTCTACAATGTCTGATTTATGCCACCTCCACTGGCAAATCCGTCTCGATAATTCGGTCGTGTGGAGCCAATGCCTTCCGGTCCGTCTTCCCTTGGCATAGTGGCCTTGAGTCGCTTTAGGCACTTGGTATTTGCCCTCAACAGGCATGGCCGCGCTAAAGGTCACATGGCGTCAGAGAGCAGGTGGACGGTGTCGACCAGGTGCACGGTGGGGAGACAGGCTGTGGGCTCGAAGACGGCAGTTGGGAGGCAATCCAGCATACTTTCGGCCCCTGAAAGAGCTAAACATGTTACAGCAATGCGGAAGTGTTGAATAACCCTTATGCAACACTATCAGACAGGCACTAGTAAAAATCGACAGGTGAGACTCGTGATACGTTACGCCCGTCCCAGGCGTTGAAGACGGTTGTTACATCAGCTCGTTTGTATATTTCAGATGTTTCGAAAAATGCGAGGTAAGCGACCAGAAATCGAGTCAATTTTTGTTATTCTTTGTAAGCAATTCAAACTTGTACGTATTTGTGTGTAGATTTTGGTGTTTTTATTTGAGGAAAATAGCACTAATTGACATGTACGATCATCATATAACCACAGAGCACATTGTGCCTGCTTTCAGTTTGCTAAAAATGCATTGTCAAGCGTCAAAGCGACTATGTGCAATGTGAACAAGAGCTATGCGATCTTGATTACCCGAAGATGTACAACACACCATTGTTAACAACAGAAAAATATGGCACTGGTCACGAAGATATAGTTAGCACTTCAATTTCCTTAAGTAGATGTTTTATTGATTTATCCTCACTTGACCTCCGCTGACCTTTACGTATGCCTAAAATATATTTTTGCATAGATAATGCCCTTGTCGCACTGCTACACCTATTAAAATAAACTCAATCAGAAGCACATTGTGGAGGAGAACAAAAAGCGCCGCTCGTGTAGACTACTGGTAGACCAATTTTGAACGGTGACCTGACCTGACCCGCATGGGGAAGCAGAAATGGTCGTAAAGGACTCCCGGACTCATGGATGAATAACGAAGGGACTCCTAGACGGTCTAAACGCTTACTTGGGTGCTCTCAATATCCGTCTTGGCGTATTAACATATGTTTTAACTAGCTGTGAGAACGCCCGTTTTCTCCTTTAGTGACCTCGGATGACCTCACATTTGATTAAGGTAAAAAATGTAATACGCACTCGTCCTGATTTAACAAGACCATCACGAAGGTATCTTTGATTTTCCTGTGCGACGCCTGAAAATGGAAGATCCCAGCTGGTCAACCTCCCCCCCCCCCCCCCCCCGGCCGAGCGAGATCGTCTCGGACCCCCGGCCGCGCGCAGGTTACTGCCGCATCAAGGGTTGAATGTTTCTGTACATGTGGGTCGTGTTTCATTGAAGGTCGACATTGAAGTGAGTGTTTCTCAAGGGATCTCGATCTCGTTGAGCGATTGCAATGGATCAGACTAATTATGATCTTAGCTGCTCGTCTCTGGAATCACTATATCGCATGCATCTGGAGCGGGTTAATGTGGATAAGCGCTTTGGCCAGTGCCCGAGCCGCACTTTTGCAAGTTGGTCCGTGTCGCAATGAATCATCACTGCATCGAGCCTATTACGCACGCAGAGTATTCTCACCTGTGAGCCAAGGATTGTTTGTGGGCTTGTCCAGCAGCAGCATCGCCAGCAGCACCACCAGCACCACCAGCAGCAGCAGCACCAGGCGGCGGCTGAGCGGGCGCGTGGTACAACGTCGCATGGCGGCTGTGGCTCCCCGACCGTCCCCAGCCGACGCGCCGGGGCAGCCGGGGCAGCCCGGCGAGCCAGCGGCGGAAGCTGCGCCTGCACCCGCGCACCGACCGATGTCAGTCACAGTTCGATGACAAAATGGCTTGTAGCATTGTACGTAGTGCAGTTGTACTTTGTGCCCTGCGCTCCTGCTGGGGCGGGGCGCGGTAGATGGTCAGATTCGCAGGCCGGCCCCGGCCGCGCGGCAGATGCGCGCCGCTCAGGCCGGCCCCGACTGCGAGGCAGATGCGCGCCGCCGCCGCAGTTCGCGCGGCCCCGGCTCGCGGCCCCTGCTGTCGGCAGTCGCCGTGGGGAGAGCAGGGAGGGTAGGTGCACCGTCAGGGGCTGCTGTGGTGCGAGACTAAAATACAGAGAAGTTTTGGTGAAACACTTGGCGTCTCATTACAAGCACGCAATCGTAAGAGTTCTACACAAGAAAATACACATAGGCTCGTCATTACATCCACGTGTTTTAGTTCACTGCCAATCAGTTTCCTCCCGTTTCTCCTGATTCGTAGATCAGTTTTTGACGTTTGGCACTCGCGGACATTAATCTACGTTCAGGTCTTCAGGTCATTGAACCATTACCATAATAAGATCATAGAGGCAACTCGAGCAACGTGAGTAATGTGCACATGACGTCAAAACTGTGCCAATGGAGCCAGACATCTCGGGCGACCCACACCGATGCGAATGATAAATCCCTTGAAATGGTTTTCTTTCATGACAGTTTATCAGGCAGACGTCGACCGATGCAGCATTTGCACGCCCATTCAGGATAGCCGTTTTGGTCGGTCTAAAACAGAATTCACATATCATCGTTTGTGAAAACACTTTTTCGCGGACACACGCGTCCTGAATCCTGAGAAATTAAAGACACGGACAGGGATAAATATCTTTAATGAAGTGATTGGCAATCAGCTTCCGACTATTAGAGCCCTTCCTCAGAAGATAAATTGTGCGGAATAAAGTGAGCGAGGAGAAGAGAAAGAGAGGGAGGAAGAGAAAGGGAGAGAGACATAGTGAGAGAGTGAGGAGGAGAGAGAGAGAGAGAGAGAGAGAGAGAGATAGAAAGAGACAGAGACAGGCAGAGAGAGAGAGAGAGAGAAAGAGAGATATTAGGGAGAAAGAGAGAGAGAGAGAAGGAGAGAGAGAGGAGAGAGATAGAGGAGAGGAGGAGAGCTCTCTCTCTCTCTCTCTCTCCGCTTCTCGCTATTCTCTCTCCTCTCTCTCTCTCTCTTCTCTATCGCTCCTCTCTCTCTCTATCTCTCTCCTCTCTCTATAGCTCTCTCCTCTCTCTCTCTCTCTCTCTCCTCTCTCGCTCTCCTCTCCTCTCTCTCTCTCTTCCGTCCTCTCCTTTCTCTACTCGAGAGGATAGAGCACTCTGTGCAGATAAACCTCTTTAACGTGCGTATCACTGTCCTGGAACCACTGGCCGGTGTCCGGCTCTGGCCCCGGCAACGGCTCCAGATAAATGAAAATGGGCCGGCTTTGGCTGAAGCACTGGCTCCGGCTTTAACTTTAGTGGAACTCCACCTTTTGATCTCCATTAATATTACCCTTTCCATGTCCTTGGTTGTCCTTTCCATGCCTTTCCCATGAGGGTTTTTGTATTGAAACTTTTAATGTGTCATGAAGTACCAACTAAGCAACGCTATTTGGCAGACAGTTGGAAGCACTGTTGGCAAATCAAAATGAGCACCAACCAGAAGCATCACTGGTAGATAAAAATCACAGCCGATGGCGTGAACACTTCATGTCATAGCAGATCATATTCCCTCTGGGAATGCTACACAAAAACCCATTTAACGTTGTCTGTGTGGAAAACCCGAAACTAGTCTCACAACCTGATATCTCACCTGACTGATCTTATGGGACATCAGAAACGTGACGCATGCTACGTTACGCCGCCAGACTTGCGATGTGGCACTGTCCTTGCTACGAGCTATGTGGCGCATTCAATGCCAACATCAACTCTCAACTGTGTGAGCTCTGTCAACTTCTGTATGTAGGTAACAATGAAAATGCATTGTGTACATGTAAAACTTCCGTCCTGATATGAAACATCCTATTTTATGGTATTAGCCGTCAAAAGGAAGTCATTCGTGATGACCAGAAATATTACGGAATTTGTTTGCTGAATTTCCTGATTCATATTTTATGTCGGGGTGCCAGGGACGTTCCGATGCGCCACCTGGTTAAATTATATATCAAAAATGCATTTGGCAGCAATATGGCCTTTTAGCATGTAACCAGCTTCCTACGTCCCGCGTATTTGAAACATAAAGGTATCGTCCGATTTTCGACAGGAGGTTATTTTCAAACATCGCCGAATAGTCTATCTCAGATATCTAATAATCTATCTCGATCCAGACCATCTATAGTATGCCAACGCAGAGCCTGAGTCGAATCTTTGCGGAAGCTGGGATTAAGAGAGAACCAGCTCGAACATGATCAAGCGATAGCAAGCATAAGCAAATGTAAACAGTCGGCATTGAGAAGCTGACGCCAATAGGTCCTGTCAACACATTCGCATATCCCTCCTCCATAAGCTTATCAAGTAGATGTTCATTGATGCATAGCATTCGCTGACTGCGAACCTGGCAAACCCTGGCCAAATTAGCCGACCGCGTCAACGAATTTAACGCGTTTTACGTTTTTGGTGAACGTAAACAAAATGTTGAAGCCCACGCTTTTGGGTAGGTCTCAATAATGCCAAACGTGCGGTCTGGCTCCTCTTAAGTATGTGTTTAGGCTGGAGCAAATATTTTCATGGGTTAGATAATAACTGGACGCTAGCGCGTGCAGTAGAATAAATCATACAATTTAGAAATACCTCGTTGATTAGCAAAAATGATACCCCCAACAACTTTTGAGTTAACCTGTGTGTGAGACGACATCACATTTTGGATTATTGTCAACGACATAGCATATGTTGCAAAGAATTATGGAATGTAGCTATATCTTAACGAGCCCAAACCGGAGCCCTATGGATATTCCTTCGAGAATGCTAGTGGCACATTGCAAATAAACCATATGAGTTTCAGAGTGTGTCCGGGACGTAAATAGTAAGTGATTTGACTGAGACAGAATTTATCAAATAGAATCCCACACGACATCTGACTGAACATGACTTGATACTTCATGAGTGTAACAGCCCGCACCAGTTTTAAAAGCAATCGAATTAGCATCATGCGTACATCGCTGGGATAGCGTGTCTTGCTTACCGAAGTCCTGCAAGCGTCCTCGGTGGTTGTGTATGTAACATCGGTAATTCACACGAATCCCAATTTCAACGCAGGGAGACCGTTCAAGGCTTTTAAGAACCCCCGGTGTCTCGTGGGGCTTATCATAACCAGTGACCCAGCCCGCACCCACAGCTCGTGAATAAACACTGCGATCTGAGCCTCGCAGTGAATCCCCAACGCCGCAGCCCGGGCCGGCCGCTGTCTTCCGCATCCCACCAGGAGACGCGTCCGCACGTACCTGCCTCAGCCGCGTCGGGCGCCGCACCGACCAGGCCGACCGCCTCTCTCCGCCGCGAGAGCCCGGCAGCCTTGTAGCTGCCAGTGAAAGCTCGCGTCTGGACGGCGGACGGCCGCTGCCGCGCCGCCCCGCCCCCTCCCCCCCCCCCCCCCTCCCTCCTTATCCGTGTCGTCACAGAGCGCCACCTCCGGCCGCCGTTGTCTGGGGCTGTTACGGCAGTTGCGGCAGTGGCAACGCTTATTTGGTTCATTTCGGTTTTGCTGGAATTGGTGTCGGGTGCGACCATGCAGCACGGAGCCGGTGCCTACTCTGAACCACATGCGAAATCCAGGAGCGGATCCAGAGGGGGCACGGGGCGATAATCCCCTTGGGTCCCGAAGGGACCATAGTCTCCGAAGGGGCCCATAGCTGGCCGAACAAGCGCAGTTTTTTAACACAAATGCAACAGCATTGAACGTTCTTGGGGCTCCAGGCGACCAACAACGGTCGCAAGCGAAAGTGAAGGGCCCGCCAGGGGACATACAAAATTTTACTTATTGAGAGGGTTGTGATTTGGAGGTTTTAAGGCTCATTCCTTGATTTCTTTGCAGTTGCTCGCAGGGGCCTGTGCTGCAGCTGGAGCCCTTCCTGCTAGCGTGCCGGAGTATTCTCGTCAGTCAGGAGCTTTCCACGGATTCTTTCCATACGCCCGAAAAGCTTTATACACTAAATCCGGGGGCCCATGTGTTAACCTGCCGGGGTACACTCAGCTGCTCGGGGGCCCTTCACGTTGGTCCCGATAACCTACCGACACACACATGAACATGTCCGGGGCCCTCTACATTGGTCTAGGGCCCTTCCAATTATCTGTTAATTGCTTAGGGCCCTGTGCTCCTGTCGGGGATCATCTGTTATCCTGCTTGGGCACACTCCGTAGTTCGGGGCCCTCCAAATTGGGTCTTCGATACTTCGTATTTGATTGGAGGGCTGTACGCACTTGTCGAGGGCCTCATCTGTTAACCTTCTCGGGCACACTGGAGTGTTCGGGGACCCTGCACATTGAGTTTTAATATTTAAATGTATGGCCCTACGCTGCTAAAAGGGGCCATCCGATAGCCTGCTTGGGTACACTCGACCTTTCGGGAGCCCTCCACATTGGGTTTTGGGTACTCCGTCTATAAACAGAGGGCCCTATGCTCTTGTCGGGGCCACTCTGTTAACCTGCTCTGGCACACTTGATCGTCCGGGGGCCCTCCACATTGTGTTTTGGGTATCCATTATTCAGACGTCGGGCCCTTTGCTCTTGTCGGGGGTCCTTATGCCTTACCTGCTTGGGCATACTCGATCATTCCGGGGCCCTCCATGTTGTGTCTTGGGTACTTCTATGTGAATGGATGGTTCTTTCTTCTTGTCGAAGCCCTATCTATTAAGTCCCCCAGCGGAACCATAGGCTCCGAACGAGACCATAAACGGCCGAGCAGACGTAGTTTTTAGCTCAAAACACAAAACTGAAAGCCTTTGAGCTTTTAGACGACCAAGAACAGTTCCAAGCGAAAGCAAATAGCCCGTGAACAGGCAAAGGTAGTTCTTGGCTAGTTGAGAGGGTGATGATTTGGGGACATTTCGGGTCTCTTTACGTCATTCAAAGACGCTACGTTGTTACCAGTTCCCTATATGTC